TATGTATTGTGTTGGTGCTATCAATGTGCTCTGTGTCAAATGGCGAGGGAAATCGATGACTCTGGTGATGACAGTCACACAGAATAAACAATTGCAGTATAATATATGCCATGTTCAGAACTGATTTAGCACATTATTGTATACACACTCATGAGAACTTATCAGCTTACGTTACCGAATACTGATCATACCTAATATTCTGATGTAAGCAGTGAAGTTTCATAGAAATTCTTTCCAAAATCAACATCATATTTTATTCTGTTTTTGATTGGTCGAGCATGGAAACAAATCGGTTAATCTGATTGGTCCACGTTGATAACAATTTGCAAATATTGCGATCTAGACAACATATATAATGCATGATATTCTCACGAATTATGAATTTCTGTTCCGATTTTAAAATCGTAAGAGAAAAAGTACAAAGTTTAGCGTCGAAATGCCGTGGAAAATGCCGAAAAAATTGTTACACAATTGTTGCACCTATATTACATACAAGAAGGCCTATAATGTAGGACAATATTTTAACAGCAGCCTCGACTTAATACGGTTATAATTGGCTCAAATTTCCATATTATTAATTAACATGATAATATCAACACCGGCGTGTGTAGTATGAATGAACCCTAATATCAATTGGTTTGGTTCGACTGTATTGATCGATTGTTAATGGCACGAACAGCGAGCATATCTTCTCCTTTACTCGAACTGATGGATTCTGCCGAGGGAGAAAATTATTACACAGGTTTGAGAAATGTACACATATATTATAATCATTATATACCGATATTTCTCGCTTCGCTGACGGTCTGTATTTTGTTACATGTAACGCTTCACGGAACGCAATGTAAATATGGGAAATGAAAAAATTAAAGTGAAGCATCAAATGATTTGAACAAACGGAAGAAGTGCCAATAAAATAGTCTAATATTTTGTTAAAATTTGTCTATGCCTCTGTTGTTATTTTACTGATTAATAAATAACTGGTATTGGATTTCAAAATAAAGGGAAAAGCATGTCATTTTATGATCTAATCGTTCCCCCAACTGTTTTAATATTGTAAAATTTCTTCGGACAAGAAGAAGTTTCATACTCGAACAGATTTTATTACGATTTTGGGGTGTTTTCTCTTCCTATTTTGATAAAATATTTGAAATTTTTGTCCGCCTTCCGTGCGTAAGCAGCCAGCCGGTGCACTCTATCGATATACGAGACGGTTTTTCTAAAAGGTTAGTCTTCCCTAAATATTGTAATATTTTCAAAATTAGGATTTAACTTCGATGTTTGTGTCATCGTTTGAATTCATCTTTATATTTTGAGAGTCCTACGGAATAATTCAGGGCATAACTTCTCAATGCAGTATCTGTCTGGCAAAGAAAAATATATTTACGTATTCATGCAATAAGACAGATCAACTATAATTTTGAAACTAATCATAATAATATTGTCAACTTTGCGTTCTACACTGTTCTAAAATGTGATGTAAATGTTAGTATTATTCGGAAGTTTGTATAAACATTTCAAAACAAAGCATTTTGCAATAAATTTCAAAGCTGACCCTACTTTGTTCATGTATATATATAGTACCTATATAAATATTATGTAATCTACTGTCTGACCAAATATTTCACTCTTAACTAACACTAGGTGTTAATTCAAAATATTTTTTAAATTTAAGTTATGGGAAACTACAGTTTGATACCAAGGTACAAATTAATTTACAGTGTGTTTAAAAGCCCATCATGTGTTAGTTGAAGTCAAATGTTCATTTGAGATTTATTGATAACAGTTTAAAGGAAAATAATCGAGATTGAAGTCACCATGGTAACATCACAAGTATTGGTCTTACTTCTCAAGAGGCAATTGTCGAGATAGGATATTGAGATAATCAAGCCATACCCATGTTATCTTATAACAATTTGTTAGTTGTTAAAATATTATATGGAGCTAGAGCACACCCTCTATCACATATCCCATTTAAAATATGTTCAAATTATTATCACATCATTATTTGTGAAGCAAATGAGAAACAATGATGAAAAAAAATTATTAAATTTCTTTGAAGTTCAGTTGCATTTGGGTGAACACCCATTAGAATTGTTGCAAATTTACCTTTCAGAGGTGAAAATTATCCTGACATAAGAAATGTTGAGTTTAATGAATTCCCCTCAATATTTCCATAATTCCATAGATCTTGAGCTTGCTGCTGCCATTGGGAAAAATTTGTTGGAAAGAAATAAAGAACTTGAACTTTTGTTATGCTCAACTCAGGACTATGCAGATGAACAAGTTCAAAAAGTCAGGTGAGTCAACTGTGGTGGTAAATCAAACTCTGATAAAATTTCATGAATACATTCTCATTGACAATTATTGAACTCTTCTTGACTTGACCAGTTGATGAAACTCTCATACAAACTCTCACTTGTCAACTCTCATCAACTCTCATGCAACTCTTGTTCTTGTTTGAACCAGAACATGACAGTTGATGAAACTCTCACACAAACTCTTGCTTGTTCTTCTTTGATTTTGACATGATTGTGGATGGAACCTCAAATCAAACTTGCCAACTTTCATGAACTTTCAATGCTTTAGCTTGAGATAAAAGTAAGAGATTAAAAACTCCTTTGAACCTACTCTTTTTTCAACAGTTCTTAACTCGTCAACTTGATGATGCAAGAGAAGTCAACGAAAGTCGTGTCAAACTGATGGAACAGATTGAGAAGAACCACGAACAGTTGTCGCGAAGCCATGCCAAGCTTAAACGCGAGACGAAATCCATTCAAGAACACAATGAAGTTTTGACAGAAAGCTTACAATCTTTAGTTGAAAAATGCGACCTATACAAATCAGAAATGGAAGTTTTGAAACGCGAAAACAGCCAATTACAACGCAAGTTATCTTCGGCATCGCTCCCTGAAACGGCCCCTGAAAGTGACCCGAAGCCTTGTGAAAAAGTTGAAAACAACATACAAGATTTGTCCGTTGTTATCAAAGAGTTAAAATTCGAGCAAGATTTAGAGAAATCCATGAGAGAGGAATTGGAAAACGAGCTTTCGCAATTGATATTTGAAAACCAAAATTTGGAACACAAACTGCGCTTGTTTGCAAAAAGTAATCGAAACTCTTTTGTAGAGGAACAGAAAATGGAGCATGTGGAGGAAAGCAATGGCGTCGAAGAGGATGTTCCCGACGGAGTGGAAGAAGACGGGGATTGTTCAAATGAAAGTTTTGTTTTGGTAGAAGAGCAAAGGATTGAAGAACTCGACAGCGAGCCAAGCTTAGAACAATGCGATATCTCGTTTCTGGATGAATTAGATCAACAATACCGAGATTTGGTGGGAAAATATAATTCTTTGGTCGAGAAGTGCAAGACCGAAGGTATACCATACGAATCTCGTGAGATGTGCACCGTGCAACGAGGGGTGCAGACCTCTCATGAAGAGGCTGCGCTGTGTGATAAGGAGGCGGTGGGGTGCGGGGTTGGGGCTGTACCCCAGTACAAGCAAATGTTTGCAAGGTTGTATGAGAAAATTCGGGAGGGAAGGGACGACAGTTGAGGGATTGTGGTTGATGGAAAGGGTCGAGTGGTTGATGCGTGTGGGTAAATATGACCGGGGTAATGGTGGATGTAAGGGGATGGGTGTGTATAATTGTGGAGTGGTGATGTTGGGAATGGTGAAGGGTTGATGCAAGGGGAGTTATAGTGATAGCAGGGGAAAGAGGAGAGAAGTAAGGAGGGTCACCATGATGTTGTGAGTATTTCGAGTGAACAGACGATAAGGAACATGGACAAAGAAAAAACAAACTTTACAAACAAATTGCAACAATTTACTTAGTCGGAATGTGAGAGAGAGATTGAAATTATATTAATAAGGATAATAGAATAGCATATATAAACAAATTGGAAATATATTTATCGAATTGTAAAGAAAAACTAACTTTAATAAAATATTTGCTCATATTTCATCGTACAAGTCAATTTTCTTTAGTGATTTCCTGCATTTGAGACTTTGCCTCCCCCCCCAACCCGCCGCCGCTTTCCCCCCCCCGCCACAAACACTGTTAGCCATCCTAAAATCAAATGCTCGCTCAATCACCACCACATTGAACTCGGTTTTCTAAAAAATACAGTCTAATCTCCCATCTTTTATACTCCGTAAAAAAATTTATGTTCCTTGAACGATTATCACACTCGTATTATTCTATACGAATAGTTTCGTGTATCCTCAAGACCTCAATTCAAAGCTGCGCGGATTTAGAAAAATAGTATCCTTGTAAAATAATCTGCAGTTCTTTCATTTTACAGAACTCGAATTCCTAACTTCCAGAACCAGAAGAGCCATTATTGTTTGAAGGATAATTAGATCAGATTTCGAATTTAACGGCAAAACGGTTTCTGCCGGTCTGCGTGTGAATTCACCATCATTGAATTGACTAATTTGTGTAAGTAATTTGACGGTAGGTCAACTTATCCACGAATGGCTTACTAATTTTTTAGCGGTGTTTAATCTCCAGCGCACCTATTCGTCGTCAGAGGAAGCGCTGTCGTCGGTGATATGAATCTTTTCGAGTCTTGTCTGGCCACGATGGCTCCACTGTCTATATCTGGCCAAATCTTTCCGTGTCACTATGCCTACAACCTGGCAACGGAACGTTTAAGATACTCAAGTTTTTGAGCCGGTATATATAAAACTCTCAAACACATTTTAAGTCGGTTTTCCACTAGCGATATTTTTCGTGGGAAGCGACATTTTACTTTTGTTCCAGACCTTTCAACTGCAACCATCTGGAACACATTGCTCAAATACAAAGGAATAAAGTCGCTTCGCGCGAAAAATATCGCTCGTGGAGAACCGGCTTTAGACGGTTCTGAATCGACAGACCAATCGCTAAGCGCTTTTCGAAGGTCTGGGGACGAGAATAATAGAATAATTTCAACTCACCTGATTGTGATGATCAACAACAATAAGATGACGTAATCCAATAGCACGAAACAGGTGAAAAACGCGGGAAATGGATGATTCCTGTTGAAGTATCAAAAGTATCAAGGCATTGCTACCGGGATCAACCTTCCTCAATGTCAGTTGATCATTGCAGTGCTGTAAGTCTGACTGATTACTGTTGCTACTAATACTAGCCTAACTAGTCTAATATTTACTGCTTTGCAATGTTTTATTCAGTGTTTCACTTTCAACCTTCCTCATTGCAGTACTGCTAGTCTGACTGAGTGCTGATTGTTGCTACTAATACCAGCCTGACTAGTCCAGTACTTACTGCTTTGCAAAGTTTTACTCAGTGTTTCACTTTCAACCTTCCTCAATGTCAGTTGATCATTGCAGTACTACTAGACTGTCCTAGAAAATTACATACCTCATGGACAGTGTACGGCATGACATTCATAAATGGTTGAAGATCCAAACAGCATTCTCGCTCCAATGGGGAAACACGAATTGTCTAAAACAAACGAGATATTTAGACTCACTAAAGTTGTATGGTCACCTGTAATGTATGCATTAAAAACATTATAAGCATAAGATATATTGCTTACTCTAACGGGCTGAAATCTAGGATAGGCATCTCTGAAATCTTTCATTGTCAACTGATGTTTAGCAGGTTCTTTTCCTCTTTCGAAAAATACCTTTGGAAAAGACAGGAAAATTTTAACTTACTTCTAAACTACAGGAGGAAACCTAAACTAAACTAACTTTATTTATACTGGATAGCTCTATCAGTTCTAAACTGTTCTTCCTAGAGGTCCAGTAAGGATCATCTCTTATTGATCCAGTGTTACTACAGGAGGAAACCTAAACTGAACTACCTTCATTCACATGCACAAAAGATTTCTGTAACTCCATTCCAACAGGAAAATCCTACTCAACAATCGCATAGCAATAAAACGGCGAGTTCACCTTGTGTTTTAAAAGGACAATGAGCTGCGATCTTAAAATCGTACCCCGGAATGCACCAAACGTTCCCTCCGACATTTCGTTCTGCGAAAAAGAAAACAAAGCAATAGCGCTTTCATACAAAGCAATCATTTCACATAATACATTGTTATAGCCAAGCGTAGCTCAGTCTATACACATGAATTACTTTTCACTGTCGTATATACCTCTGGCAGTGGATCTACCACAGGAAAGCCATTGTGAGTTGTCGTTTTAAGAAGTTCGATAACGCGACCGACCTGAATAACAGAGAAGGTTTGTTACGACAACTTGCGAAAAATACGAAATGCTTGAAGAGGCCCTTTACAATTGCTATTTTTCCGCGATTTTAGATGTGATTTTGATGGATGTGAACGAGCGGATAAGTTACTGATGGTCAAATAAGAGCTCTAAAACAATACAGCATTCATAGCTATTCGCTCGTTCACATCTATCAAATGAAGAAAATCGCCGTGTAAACAGGGTATAAAAAATAATGGCAACTTACATTTTCTACTAAATTCATACAACAAACAGGTTTGTTCATGATATTTCTAAAGAAATAATGAGAATTGTGATGGTCTATAATTGGTGTTCTAAATTTGGTTATTCCAATTATATGTTTATTACTTTAAAGAGTATTGCTCGATGAAACACTACTTCATGTAATGTTCAATGATTCCAACTTTGATCATTGGCACTGAAATGCGGTTATCTGCAATAACGCATGTCCCATACCTGGGATATTGTTGAAGAGAGCTCTTACCTGGCATTGAGGCCCTCGACCATTTGTGGTGGGTCCCAGCCCAAAATTGGAGCGCGACTTAAGCGAATGTGGATATCGTAAAGACCCTAAAATCATGAGGTGGTGTGAGTCCTGATTTTTCGATATGGTTAATCTGGGAGGTTGAAAAGCAAGACGGGATAGTGGGTTGATGAAATGGATCGCGTAGGAGTAAAGAAAATTGAGAAAGAACATTTCCAATTTACATGGACCTACCCTGTCCCTCTATGACGAGACCCTAGGGGGTAATAGGGACATTGGGAGATAATCATGTACCTCGTTAAATAAGTCACCTATCCACTTCGCTACCATAATAACCAACATCATTGGCAAACCATACGTGATGTTTCTCGTTGCCTCCATTAAAATAACTGTCAAACTTATCGTCATACGAACAACTCCGCCTGCAAACAACAACAATAACTACGATAAATAAATATGGATAAGAATAGACAATTATGATGGACAAACATGGATAATTCGGAATAATAATGATAGTAATGGTTAATAATGATTAATAGTGGACAATTATGGATAATAATAAATATTGATCATACGGAATAACAACGAATAATAATGGTTAGCAATGGATACTAATGGATAAAGACAGCAATGAGTCTGTTTTATTTCTTTGTGAATACACGTATCCCCCAATATCCCTCTCGGCCAATAAATGTTGTGTAATTTTCACCCAGTTTTCATCAGTGAATTTTTTTACCCAGAAAGGCAGCGGCTCCAACAACAGCATAAAGACAAGTGTCGCGGACTAATGTATTGGGAAGGAACGTTGAGAGCCCCACAGCAAAGAGTCTCCCCCAGGCAGCTCCTGTTAAGATGCAGGGTACGAAAAGGCCGCTGGGAACGAATGAACCGTACGTCCATGTCGCCAGCAGAAAGTAGACTGGGAAGAATAGAGCCAATACTTGAAACGTATAAGTCGCTGCAAAGCAAATATGAAGTGTTCTTACATACATAGTTACGATTCAATTCTAAACTGTTCTTCCTAGAGGTCCAGTAAGAATCATCTCTTATTGATCTAGTGCTACTACAGGAGGAAACCTAAACTAAACTAACTTTATCTATACTGGATAGCTCTATCAGTTCTAAATTGTTCTTCCTAGAGGCCCAGTAAGGATCATCTCTTATTGATCCAGTGTTACTACAGGAGAAACCTAAACTAAACTAACTTTATTTATACTGGATAGCTCTATCAGTTCTAAACTGTTCTTCCTAGAGGTCCAGTAAGGATCATCTCTTATTGATCCAGTGTTACTACAGGAGAAACCTAAACTAAACTAACTTTATTTATACTGGATAGCTCTGTCAGTTTTAAACTGTTCTTCCTAGAGGTCCAGTAAGGATCATCTCTTATTGATCTAGTGTTACTACAGGAGGAAACCTAAACTAAACTAACTTTATCTATACTGGATAGCTCTATCAGTTCTAAACTGTTCTTCCTAGAGGCCCAGTAAGGATCATCTCTTATTGATCCAGTGTTACTACAGGAGAAACTTAAACTAAACTAACTTTATTTATACTGGATAGCTCTATCAGTTCTAAACTGTTCTTCCTAGAGGTCCAGTAAGGATCATCTCTTATTGATCCAGTGTTACTACAGGAGAAACCTAAACTAAACTAACTTTATTTATACTGGATAGCTCTATCAGTTCTAAACTGTTCTTCCTAGAGGTCCAGTAAGGATCATCTCTTATTGATCCAGTGTTACTACAGGAGAAACCTAAACTAAACTAACTTTATTTATACTGGATAGCTCTATCAGTTCTAAACTATTCTTCTCACCTTGTGTTGTATGGAACAAACTTTTTATTGACTGCTCAGGTGTCCTGAACGCAAGAGTTCCCATCAAACTGTATTCACCATCTTTACAAAAAAACTTTAAAACAAAACAAAACAAAACATTGTAAAATCTACGTACAGCTGTACATGGCATGGTTGGCATATATTCATTAAAAGCCACTGTATTTACCTGCAATGGTTGGGATATGTTGTTGACACCGATTGGTTGGCAAACGTCGTAATAATAAATTAAATTGAACATAGTGCAAGTCGTGATGGCAGCAATCACGATAGCTTCAAGGACTCGTTTCCAAGCGGATTTGATGTATCTGAAATGAAAGTTAGTTTGTTTAAATATTGCTGCATGGTGTTGTGTTTTTCAAATGTGATTGGTTCATTCGTAGTCACATGACTTTAAATAAATGCAATGTTTCCCGCCAGAGAAACAAGTGAAAAATTGTTGCCCACTTCTTGTCATAACAAAGTAAAGTGGGCTTTCTTTGAAATGAAATTGTTGGGTAAAATGTATGTTTTTGTTCCTATATAACTATATGTACACTAACTACCTCGGGAAATAGTGAGTTTTGCTTTCCCTCGAGCTTCAATGTTTCCCTCCAATTCGTCTCGGGAAACATTCAGACTCTTGGGAAAACAAAACTCACTATTTCCCTCGGGAGCATACATTAAATGTATGATAAATGAAGTGTTGATTATAATATAACATTTATAGTACGCGCGTGCTGATTGGTCGAGAAGCGTGTTTCTGTATAGGAACACGGGAATTTTCCCGCCGAACTTGACAAGCGAAGCGATGTAATGAGAATTTGTAATTGAATCGAATCATAATATTTGTACAAAATCTTTTTATTGAGTTATATTATAAAAGAAATAGAAAACATTTTTTCCTGTGTTTCTATACAGTTATAGAAACACTTGTGGGAGTTTGGGAGAACTCGAAATAATGTGGAAAAACTCGCCCTACGGGCTCGTTTTCCCACTGATTATTTCTCGTTCTCCCAAACTCCCACGCGTGTTTCTATAACTGTATAGAAACACGGAAAATGTTTTCTGTTTCTTAATTGTGTTTATAGGCACGAAGTACACGCGCCTGAAATCACGGCTGAAATGACTTACAGTATGATATTTCACGCAGTGGCGTAGCCAGCCTGACGATTTTGTCCCGCTATGTAAATTTCGAGTTATTATAATTATTCAAGTCTTTAGAAATCTATTGTTTTCACAGTCAGTGAACACAAAAATATTAACATAGCGGGACAAATCGGCAGGCTGGCTACGCTACTGATTTCACGGCAAAAAATCGCAAATAGTTTTGAAGTGCAACAACCGCTGTTTACCTGATTCTGAAAACTGTTAACTTCTGATTAATAAAATTAAACAAGGCTCCGAGTAATCCTCCTAAAAGAAAGCTACAGCTAAATCAAGTGCCTGAGGTCATCGCGAATACCCTGCTTCTGCAAGGTTGGGGAAACATAACGAACAGAAAATAAACACATAGTCATATACGTTCTTATTTAAGGTTCTACTCAAGCGAAATGTGTTACACAGTTACTTAATAAACCTTCCACCACAAACTTTTACTTCTGGGGCCGGTTGTATCAAGCCCGTTTAGCTTAAACGGTGGTTAAGTTCAAAATAGAAAGCACGTCTATCGTTTTACTCAACAAGCAAACTATATGTTTTTAACCTTAATACAAAGATACTGTTTACAACTATATATATAATATTCAAGTTCACTCATTCAAGAGAGATGTAAGAGCGTTATTTAATTTTGACTTATCCACCGTTTAAGCTAAACGGGCTTGATACAACCGGCCCCAGGGGACTACGACCTTTATCTTCCTGTTCCGTGGCCCCTGTAACTGAGCTGTTACGTCCTACAGTAGACATTTCGAAAGAAAACCATACCTATTAGCCCCATGATCAATAAAAAAGGCATTTCGTAAACAGAATACTGAATATCCTATAAAGACAAGAACGGTGCAAGTTTAGTGTAACTTCACATGCAACTTCAGATAAAGATAATGTTTACTACAACACTACAAGCGCATTTTTTTCATCGCGAGGAAGTGAAATTTCAAACGGTACTCACGGAGAAAGATCCAAAGTTGATCAGACCAGGATACGACAGCTCTCCGCTGTGACCGTGATATATTGAGAGCAGCCAATTCAGACTGAATGTTGAAATAACCGAGGCGAAAAAAATACGCCAAGTCAAAGATTGATTCCAAAAACTAGCGCCTTCTTCCAAACTGAACAGGACACCGCCTGGCGAAGGACGAAAAGTAAGCGGGCATTAGATTCACATATATATAAACAACATTTGATGCAGTCAGTTATCAGTGATAAGTGTTCACCCTCACCCCCCAATCTCCTCCCATCTCCTGCCCCCCCCCATCCCGCCTTTCCCCGTCCTCCAAAGTTATCATTCCAGTGTACTTAGAGGTCAGTGCAATAACCAGTCTTACCCACAGGTGCCCCAAATGCGGCAGACACACCAGCAGCCGCGCCGCCAGACACGAAATCTCGTTTCTCGTGATCCGTGCGAAAACGATCAAAAAGTTTGAAATCCCTTCGAAATAAGATGGAGCGGCCCTGTGATATCCCAGCGGCCAGAACAGCGCCAGAGTGAATCATGGGTCCTTCCTTACCGACCGCAAGACCCCCGGCTACTGCAAAGATTACACCCACAGCTTTGATAACCAGAGTCTAAAGAGAACGTATTCAATATTATTACAAAGACAGTTGTATTATACTGAAAACTAAAACACTCCATTGAAGCAGAGATATGTTGATTTCAACATGCTCTTTGGCAGAAAGAAAATTTCATAGTTTTTTATACATGTAGTTAGCCATTTTTAGTTGATGTGACAAAATTACCTTTAAACGAACAACATGAGGAATTTTTACACCATTCAGGAAACATTTTATAACTGGGATACCACTACCAGCAGCAACAGGCTAAAAAAAGCACAATAGATAAGTGTTTCTTCTTGAACATGTGTGGTAAACATTTACCAGTTACCCCTGTTCACCCTCCCTCTCGCCCCTCATTACATCTAACATGTTTGGGGACTATGTTCACGTGCACACTACCCTCCTTCCCTCTCCATCCCTCACTATCTATCATGTTTGGGGGCCATGTTCACTTCACCCTCTTTTCCCCCTCGCCCCTCACGATCTATCATGTTTGGGGACTATGTTCACCTTACCCTCCTTCCCTCTCCATCCCTCACTATCTATGATGTTTGGGGGCCATGTTCACCTCACCTCTCCATATGAGACCAAAACTGCTGCAAATCCTACCATCGCAATATCTATGGCGATCCACAGACAAAATGGAATCAGAATTTTGACATCTTCTGAAATGTACTTTTCCAAATCTTCACAGAATATCAAGGATGAAACAAAAACGATACTCACATATCACACGATATTTCTATTTATAAGGACCTTGTATGGTGATTAAATATTCTTAGAATTTGATATTTTGCATGGTGAACTTATAACTTAAATAATCAATTTGTAGGAACACTGTGCATGTGTATATTTATAAGCAGTTTATTAAACCAGAAGGTGTTAATTTCCACAAATTGATTATTAATATAAGTGTAAAAAACATGACCATTCATACAGATTGTATTTCCACTACCATTTGACAAGGATACAATCGTGCAGGCAGTTATATTTCCATTTTGCAAGTTCCTCAATACAGATATCGATAAAAACCGCAACCAAAGCAGTCATGATTCCAACCAGAAACATCACAACCCATCTCGACAGACCAGTTGTAATATGTTCCTGAGAATACAAAATTGATTAGTATAAATTTGAAATTTATTTTCCTCTTTTTACAAAATATTAAGGTGATATATTTCAAACTACTCTCCTGATGTAGGCTCTTAGGTCAAAACATTGAGTGTTTTAGTCTATTTTAGGCAGTTGTTATATGCCACATTTGATGAGAATATCAAAAAACAATTTAACATTTGTCTCCTGTGATAATAACAACTAAATCATCCACCTTAGGTGTGCTGGCTTTATACTCTTCAACATAAAGCTGGTTCTCAGGGACTTCATAATCCAGACTCTAAAAAAACCAAATTGATGCCACTCAATTATGCTGTAAAAATACACCCTATAAACTTTATTTGACTGTGTATAAATTATGATCACATCCAAATCTTTAGTTTAGGATTGTTTTGCAAGTTTCTGAATGGAAGACAGAGAGATTTCAATATAAAAACCTGTTGCGATACTGAAACAGAAACAAAAATTCCTCACATTCATATAATATCAATGATTAGTCAGGGTATAAAGACTTTAAATATTTCGGAACAGCCAATCTAGGAAACAAAATATATTTACACTGACCTCATATTTTGAAAAAACTGTTTGTAGTCGACCTGGTTTTACTTTTCTTTGTTTTGTTGTTGAACTGGTGGATCCCATTGATCCAGACATGAACGCAACCTTTCAAAAAGAAATCTCAAAGTCAACTATGGCTAAAACAACATTACAAAGGGGTACGGGTGCTTCAAGAAATGGTGAAAAGAAGGTCGCATATTTATTGAGCGACCCTTTAGACTTAGAGTAACATAATGTTGCGTATAACTGCGCTAGCACACTGCCAGTCAAAATGAAAGAGACAAAAGGCTATTAAAAAATCTTGGTCTATTAAAAAAATCTTGGTAAGGAATCTCCATGCTGAATGGTATTGGGCTTGAGGTGAGGTCATATTATATGATTTGAATTTAGAGGCACATATTGTCAATATTTGAATTTATCATAAAATAACATTTATATTAGACATTGATCATATCAATGATTAACATAATCACGATCTTTTAATTGACCAAGATAACAAGAGATTTACTCAAAATGTAATGTCGACAGCACGCGATATTCTTACATCTCTGCTGTTACGCAGTAAGGAAGAATTCTCCGAAGTCATGTCTTTTAGCATTCTGTAGGACCGTGACATCTATTAAACATGTTCCCCTTCCAATCTAACTTCTTAACTTGATCCGGAAGATGTGGAATATGAAACTTATCCATCCAGTCACGAGGTTTTTAAACGCTTCCGTAAGCAATTCCCATCCACGTTGAGGTATTATAGTATCAAAAAAAGTGTCACTAACCACAAAAATAACCACGGCGTGCGTAAACGCAAACAACAAGGCCAGTGGGCTCAGAAAGTGATTATGGCTGACAATATGGAGGAGCCTGATATCAGTGATATGCAAATGAACAACGAAATGGACGTAAATGAAGTATGCAAATTTTATTGTATAAAGCAATTTATATGTAAATTCTTGAGGTATAGGAACGTGTGTATTTCATTATTTAATAGGTGCCATTAAGAAGACGATACAAAGAGAAATCGAAGGCTAAGGATCCAAGATATAGACGAAGGTTTGACCTTCGTAACGCAAAAAGCCTCCAGACAAAGGTAGGGGATTATTCATTTTATTGTGAAAAATAATAGAGCCGTCAATTCAGTATTACAGTTGTATGTTGTTCATGATTACTAGCATTTATTACATTTAAGATTCAAGATTGGTATGAATTGACCAAGTGTCCAACAGTGGCATTAACATGGTTAAATGGGGAGATATATTATTCAGGTAAAGTATATTTTGTTTTATACTAGAATATAAAATTATATTCTAGCACTGTCATTGTATTAACAATTATCAAGAGACTCGTGAATGTAGGCAATATATATATATATAGCCAGCACAACTAGTTTAAAGCTATAGCAGCTAATTTTAAAGTGACCATGTAAAGTCAGAGTTGAGTTTTTTAAAAAATAGACCAATTCCTGCTCCTCTATCTGGTAAATTTGTGATTATTAATATAATATAATTGAATAACTAATATTGATTATATGTAGTATAGTTTTATTAACACATTTGGATTAAGCCCTGATGCACCCTACTTTGAATTTTACTTTTTTTAATCCCAGATCCTTTTATTCATCATAGGGAGGGGGAATGTAACCACAAGGTGCTACATAGTCTCATGTTGTACTCCTTCTGGCTAGATAGTATATATAGTACTATAGTCACAGAATGTAAACATGTTTATGTATATGTTACATAGCTGCTTCTCTGCACCTTTAATGTTAGCATGAACGGTTGTCAAAACTGTCACCTGCTCCAACTGCATGTCAGCTGGTTTTTATAATATTAGTGTATATGTTTCACTTATTTTTAGGGCCTCGTGAGTTAAGGGAATTTGCTGAAAACCCTGCTGTGAAACAGGCATTTGTTGCAGCCATATTTGCTTCCCACTCAGTTGGACCAAACAGTTCTTCAACAGGTATGTACTGTCCACCAAGCTGCTCATATGCCACAATAAATGATCAATGAAATGATTTATTGCACTGTAAGTTAATGAACATTGCTATTCTGTGCAAATTAATGACCTTCAATAGGCAATGAAGTATTAGGTGCACTCTTTTACCTATAATCGTAACATTTTAAATTGGTCTAAATTAGTGTAATAAATAAATAAGCCTAAATATTTATAATTTGACATTTGGACCCCAGTTATGTTACATGTGACTGTCAATTTTGTTATTGGTATTATTATAATAGTATCTATTTTACAATAGAAAATTATGAACATATGAATGTGAAAGTCAAGATACCAAAAGACTGGAAACAATTGAATGCTCATGGAAAAAGAAAGCTAGTAATTTCCCTAGTTACCAATAATGGTAATGGTGATCATCTTTAAGTGTAATACCAGAATGATACATACAATAATAAATGCATGAATTAATCATTATCAACAAACAGTTATTCTAGTTTTAAAATTATTAAGGAACCAAACAACCACATTGGGGCGATGAGGATCACAAACCAGAATGGTGGCCATCAAGTTTATTGTTTCGTGATCCAAGCAATGGCAGAAACAGGCCTACCGTGGATATGTTGGAGAGGATCATTGCTGCACATATTGGCAAGCACAATGCATTTGTTGATGATGATAGTGATGATGGTGATGACAATGATGGTGATGATGTTGATGGGTATAATTTAGGTGGTGATGTAAATATAGATGGTGGTGAAGATCTGAGTGATGATGCTAGAGATTTGGGTAGAGATGATGCAAACTGGGGACATGGTGGTGAAAATGAAGATGGTGATGATGATGGTGTAAATATGGATAGGAATGGTAAAAATTTAGCAGGTGATGCTAGAAATTTGGGTAGGGATGAGAGTGATGATGCTGGTAATAAGGTTGGTGATGAACAGGATTTGAGTCATGATGAAGAGGGTAGTTCTGATGCGGAAATTGTTGCTTTGTCCCACAACCTGTTTCCCATAATTCCACTCGGCTACGAAAAAGCCAGGACTACAGACAAAGTATGAGTGATCATGGTGCAGAAAGAGCATTTGCTGCATTAGTTGTAAGAACTGCATTCGATTGAAAATACAGACAATATTTTAAGCAATGGATGACATATAGTACCTTGATTTAAGTACTGCATTTTCTAATTATGCCTTGAGATATCGTGAGCCTTTTTAAATTTCTTTTATCAAGGAAAATTTGTCACCAAACTCGGCGAACTTGGAGAGAGTAATGCATTTCATTGGAGATGTGTGTGCAGATCAGGACTGGGCGTTACTCAAGAACCTTAGCGAGACAATGGAGGAACTGGTTCAATTTTCTCCGCTACGTACAAAGTCGAAGCCATCTGTTTGTCATGTGACTATTCCAGATATTGAGATCAGGTACGTGAATTTGTTTTACTTATATTCAGTTATGCTGTGCTGTTCTATTTGGGGCCTTTGATGTTGCGTTGCGTTGTGTTATTGCATGTTTTGTGGGGTTTTATACAGGTAGAGTCTCTAAAAATTGAAAAAAAGAATTTTTTCACGGCAGCAAAAGAGTGTCGTCGTGAATAGCAGATATGGCAAAACATTCCATTTTTAGTTTTAGGCATTAAATGTCTTTAAAAGCAGTTTCAAAGTCAAGAGATAGTGCGTTACTTATGTGTTGTGAGTTAAACTATATATACGTGAGCAGAAAATATTTCTTCACCAAAATCTTATTTACGTCTGCAAAAAGGTTCCGTCGAAAAAGTGCTGTTGTGATACCATTTTCGCTATTCATGTCGGAATTGCTGCTGTTGAATAAATTTTAAAATCTGCATCTTACTTGTTTTTGTTGCATTTTGTTCTGTAAAATTGTTGAAATCTGTTTCCAAACAGTGTTAGATGCCAAGTTCCGGATGATATGCTCCGCTCAGGTTGGGAACCATTAGGGGTTTGTGGAGATGGGAATTGTCTGTTTCGGTCAGTGTCAGTATCTATAAGTGATAACCAGTCTGAGTCTCTACATCAATGGTTAAAACTCTGGTGTATCGTCCATGGCTGTGTAAATGAGCACTTTTACATCAAGCAGGTACAGTGTAACTGTGGTTTAACTGGTTTTGGCAGCTGTATACCAACCATTTTGAAACATTAACAGAGTGAAAAGCTTGCTTTCATTTATGAATATGGTATACAGTATTATTAAAAAATGAAATATTGTATCAATTTGATCATTTTTACTCAATTTTATACCTCAGTTTCTTGCCGATGCAGATCGCGTTGATGGCTTTCTGTCATTAATAACAGATGATGATGTATATGGCGGTTTGAAAGATAACATGACTATGAATGATAGAGTTAGTTATGTTTATATGCGTGAGATAATGAAAACCTCTGTGGATGGTCGTTACTCTGGTAAGTTGCAGTAGTAAGGTTTTTAATATGCAACCGAGTTTGTTTAACGTGGAACACATACTAACTTGTACCACATTGTATCATTTCCTGGGAAAATTTAAAAACAATTTCCGACTGGCTCAGCGGAGGCAATTATGTTGAAAGCGTTCAGATAATATGGTGTTATGGTTTTTTATTATAATAATAGGATATCTCCAAATTGTGCTTTTGGCTGGCTTACTTAAAACCACCATTTGCCAGCATTGCTCTGCGCCAGGATATGAACTCTATAACACAGAGATATGTCCTCCAAATGGGTCGACCGAATCAATTCATCTGCTCTGGTGCCAGCTATCTGGTGGAACGATTAATCACATTGTTCCGATGTTGAGATGTGAAACTGACGAACGTAAGAAATTTATATAATTAATGTTGTTTATATGCTGTAAGCTAAAATTGTTCCATTTCAGTTGTGTTGTTATCATCTATCAGACTACGTTCACACGGGACCGGAAGAATTCATGACCGTGCTCGAATTCGTCCGGTTTCATCGTGTGAACACGTAGAACCGGTTAAATTTTCATCCTTTTTCACCGTGTGAACACCTGAACTGGACGAATTCGAGCACGGTCTCGAATTCATCCGGTCCCGTATGAAGGTAGCCTCAGCGTATCACTGCAATTGGGATTCTTAAAACATTTATCAACACTTTAATTGAGGTATAATTGTGACTGTTAGTGCCCCTTTAGTCATGTTTGATAGCCAAGCTTCTGTATAGTTTTTTATATACTTCCAAAATGGTTATATAATAGACTTTGCTTTCAATGGAACTTTAACGTGTCTTACCCACAATTATATTCATTATTTTGCAGATATAAATACCTTTTCCGAGAATTTTAAAACAGCTTGTGCAGCGACAATGAAATGCCAATTCGCACATAACCTAGACAGTGCTGCTGACGAGAGATGGATTTTGTGTGAACAGTGCTTGTTCTGGTATCATGAAAGCTGTGTATACCATATTACAAAGAGGAGTTTGCCAGCACATTGGTTCTGCGGTTGTATGAAACAACCAGAATGTATTTGGTACTACATATGTTTATGTCGCCATCTTTTTCGCCCTTTTGTGCCTGTACCTTTTTTTAGACTGTCATTGGTCGGAATGAAGTATGAGCAACCGCAAAAAATTGCTCTTGACAAGATGTAAAAATATAATACATACTGTAATTTTTTTAATTTTATAGGGCTAACGATTTTGATGAACCAACGAAGCTTCGACGATTCTTTGTTCGTTCCTCTAATTCCGAATTGAAGGTAATTTTTTTATTTCATTAAAATACTTGTGAAAGTTCTAACTTTCTAACATTTGACAGTGATAATTGGTAGAAACTAAAATGACTGAAACAAAAATGGTAAAATAGATTAGTTTAAAAAGAAGTTTTAAAAATACAAATGTTAGGAGACTATACTGTATCTTCCTTCATCAGTTTTATCAAATTGTTCGAAATCTTGTATTCTTATTTGAATCAACCGTATTTGTTAACTTTTCTTGTCACGGTTTCTCTGTGGCTATATAAGTCAAATGATTCTGACACAGAAGTCATAAAAACTCAAAAAAATTACCACTTTTAAAAAATTTCCTTCAGTTGTTCTTGCGTAGTCTGGCGAAAAAAGAGGTGAAGAGTAGGAGAGTGACATTATTTATTCAAAGTTTGGCTGGTAATACGAATGCTGATAATCTTTTGAAACAAAATACTGGTTTGGGAATATTTAGAGATGTAAATACCGTAAGTATAAATGTTTCTTTGATTTTAAATTATAAGTTAGTATTTCGTTTACAGTAACCTAATATTTGAATATAGCACTACGCAGTTTCAAATATAGAACTGAAACTACTATAATAATTCAGTGTGTAGAAACTAGTATGTTTTATATATGCTCTCGCCTCTTATATTGCACAGTATACCTCAGTGTCTAGTCAGTATACCATATTGTTTGAACAGATATTACTGAATATACTTTTTTTTAAATTTTAAAACTTTAGAAAGATTATGTAAAGAGATTTGTTAAAACAAGTATCGAAAATGATGACAATATGCTTCTGGAGGAAATTATTCTCCTGGAACAGCGCGAGCAGTATATTTTTGAAGTGTGTGTACCAGAGGTATAAGCAACAGATTGTGATTGTGCGTTTTTGCAATTCCAATGGCACGCTTTTGCTAACGGTGTACATTTTGTCTATCCAGGTTGTTATTTGGATCATGGCTAAAGCCGGAAATATAAGCAGAGCATTGGCGGAAAGGTTTTTTTTTGAATACTTCTCACACAATAAAATTGATTGAGTTGGAATTCTTAGAATTCGCTCATTGTTTATGTATAGTATGCGACTGGGTACTAACGCCATCGTCAATAAACACGAATATGGTTATAAATTTGAATAAGGTTAATTAAATTTGCGTTTTATGGAATGAACTAACGTCTATTAATTATGACCGTTCCAATAATGTTCACATGTATGAAATATGCTTTGTAAATAAAACGATTATATAGTAGGACTTTACGGGTTTTTTATAAATCATCATAAGTGCATGCGATAATCTTTATATCATTCATTCTAACGTTGGCGAAAATCTCCTATGATGAAATTAAACACTGAGGAGGCAAGTACTAAAATTACAATGGTTCCTGGTAGGTTACATGTAATAACATGTAAAACAGGTTCAATTCCTGTCAGCCATGAAAATACGTTGCACGATATATATTAGGAAGGTTCACGCGATAAAAATGGCAAAAAGCAATTTATTGATTAAACTTCATGTAAAAATTTTGTCAACAAACAACGTTTCTTTCTTTTACAAAAGTTAGTCAGAAATATCATACACCTGCAAAGGCTGAGATGGTTGATGTCTATAACTTATATAACCATGCCTTGTTATCATGTCAAAATTTTGTCAACATAACCACGTTTCTTCTTTTTACAAAAGTTTAAGTCAGAAATATCATACACCTGCAAAGGCTGCGATGGTTGATGTCTATAATCTTATATAACCATGCCGTGGTTATCATGTCAAAAATTTTGTCAACATAACCACGTTTCTTCTTTTTACAAAAGTTTAAGTCAGAAATATCATACACCTGCAAAGGCTGCGATGGTTGATGTCTATAATCTATATATAACCATGCCGTGGTTATCATGTCAAAAATTTTGTCAACATAACCACGTTTCTTCTTTTTACAAAAGTTTAAGTCAGAAATATCATACACCTGCAAAGGCTGCGATGGTTGATGTCTATAATCTTATATAACCATGCCGTGGTTATCATGTCAAAAATTTTGTCAACATAACCACGTTTCTTCTTTTTACAAAAGTTTAAGTCAGAAATATCATACACCTGCAAAGGCTGCGATGGTTGATGTCTATAATCTTATATAACCATGCCGTGGTTATCATGTCAAAAATTTTGTCAACATAACCACGTTTCTTCTTTTTACAAAAGTTTAAGTCAGAAATATCATACACCTGCAAAGGCTGCGATGGTTGATGTCTATAATCTTATATAACCATGCCGTGGTTATCATGTCAAAAATTTTGTCAACATAACCACGTTTCTTCTTTTTACAAAAGTTTAAGTCAGAAATATCATACACCTGCAAAGGCTGCGATGGTTGATGTCTATAATCTTATATAACCATGCCGTGGTTATCATGTCAAAATTTTGTCAACATAACCACGTTTCTTCTTTTTACAAAAGTTTAAGTCAGAAATATCATACACCTGCAAAGGCTGCGATGGTTGATGTCTATAATCTTATATAACCATGCCGTGGTTATCATGTCAAAAATTTTGTCAACATAACCACGTTTCTTCTTTTTACAAAAGTTTAAGTCAGAAATATCATACACCTGCAAAGGCTGCGATGGTTGATGTCTATAATCTTATATAACCATGCCGTGGTTATCATGTCAAAAATTTTGTCAACATAACCACGTTTCTTCTTTTTACAAAAGTTTAAGTCAGAAATATCATACACCTGCAAAGGCTGCGATGGTTGATGTCTATAATCTTATATAACCATGCCGTGGTTATCATGTCAAAAATTTTGTCAACATAACCACGTTTCTTCTTTTTACAAAAGTTTAAGTCAGAAATATCATACACCTGCAAAGGCTGCGATGGTTGATGTCTATAATCTTATATAACCATGCCTTGGTTATCATGTCAAAAATTTTGTCAACATAACCACGTTTCTTCTTTTTACAAAAGTTTAAGTCAGAAATATCATACACCTGCAAAGGCTGCGATGGTTGATGTCTATAATCTTATATAACCATGCCGTGGTTATCATGTCAAAAATTTTGTCAACATAACCACGTTTCTTCTTTTTACAAAAGTTTAAGTCAGAAATATCATACACCTGCAAAGGCTGCGATGGTTGATGTCTATAATCTTATATAACCATGCCGTGGTTATCATGTCAAAAATTTTGTCAACATAACCACGTTTCTTCTTTTTACAAAAGTTTAAGTCAGAAATATCATACACCTGCAAAGCTGCGATGGTTGATGTCTATAATCTTATATAACCATGCCGTGGTTATCATGTCAAAAATTTTGTCAACATAACCACGTTTCTTCTTTTACAAAAGTTTAAGTCAGAAATATCATACACCTGCAAAGGCTGCGATGGTTGATGTCTATAATCTTATATAACCATGCCGTGGTTATCATGTCAAAAATTTTGTCAACATAACCACGTTTCTTCTTTTTACAAAAGTTTAAGTCAGAAATATCATACACCTGCAAAGGCTGCGATGGTTGATGTCTATAATCTATATAACCATGCCGTGGTTATCATGTCAAAAATTTTGTCAACATAACCACGTTTCTTCTTTTTACAAAAGTTTAAGTCAGAAATATCATACACCTGCAAAGGCTGCGATGGTTGATGTCTATGTATAACGTGGTTATGTTGACAAAATTTTTGACATGATAACCACGGCATGGTTATATAAGATTATAGACATCAACCATCGCAGCCTTTGCAGGTGTATGATATTTCTGACTTAAACTTTTGTAAAAAGAAGAAACGTGGTTATGTTGACAAAATTTTTGACATGATAACCACGGCATGGTTATATAAGATTATAGACATCAACCATCGCAACCTTTGCAGGTGTATGATATTTCTGACTTAAACTTTTGTAAAAAGAAGAAACGTGGTTATGTTGACAAAATTTTTGACATGATAACCACGGCATGGTTATATAAGATTATAGACATCAACCATCGCAGCCTTTGCAGGTGTATGATATTTCTGACTTAAACTTTTGTAAAAAGAAGAAACGTGGTTATGTTGACAAAATTTTTGACATGATAACCACGGCATGGTTATATAAGATTATAGACATCAACCATCGCAGCCTTTGCAGGTGTATGATATTTCTGACTTAAACTTTTGTAAAAAGAAGAAACGTGGTTATGTTGACAAAATTTTTGACATGATAACCACGGCATGGTTATATAAGATTATAGACATCAACCATCGCAGCCTTTGCAGGTGTATGATATTTCTGACTTAAACTTTTGTAAAAAGAAGAAACGTGGTTATGTTGACAAAATTTTTGACATGATAACCACGGCATGGTTATATAAGATTATAGACATCAACCATCGCAGCCTTTGCAGGTGTATGATATTTCTGACTTAAACTTTTGTAAAAAGAAGAAACGTGGTTATGTTGACAAAATTTTTGACATGATAACCACGGCATGGTTATATAAGATTATAGACATCAACCATCGCAGCCTTTGCAGGTGTATGATATTTCTGACTTAAACTTTTGTAAAAAGAAGAAACGTGGTTATGTTGACAAAATTTTTTGACATGATAACCACGGCATGGTTATATAAGATTATAGACATCAACCATCGCAGCCTTTGCAGGTGTATGATATTTCTGACTTAAACTTTTGTAAAAAGAAGAAACGTGGTTATGTTGACAAAATTTTTGACATGATAACCACGGCATGGTTATATAAGATTATAGACATCAACCATCGCAGCCTTTGCAGGTGTATGATATTTCTGACTTAAACTTTTGTAAAAAGAAGAAACGTGGTTATGTTGACAAAATTTTTGACATGATAACCACGGCATGGTTATATAAGATTATAGACATCAACCATCGCAACCTTTGCAGGTGTATGAATTTCTGACTTAAACTTTTGTAAAAAGAAGAAACGTGGTTATGTTGTCAAAATTTTTGACATGATAACCACGGCATGGTTATATAAGATTATAGACATCAACCATCGCAACCTTTGCAGGTGTATGATATTTCTGACTTAAACTTTTGTAAAAAGAAGAAACGTGGTTATGTTGACAAAATTTTTGACATGATAACCACGGCATGGTTATATAAGATTATAGACATCAACCATCGCAACCTTTGCAGGTGTATGATATTTCTGACTTAAACTTTTGTAAAAAGAAGAAACGTGGTTATGTTGACAAAATTTTTGACATGATAACCACGGCATGGTTATTAAGATTATAGACATCAACCATCGCAGCCTTTGCAGGTGTATGATATTTCTGACTTAAACTTTTGTAAAAAGAAGAAACGTGGTTATGTTGACAAATTTTTGACATGATAACCACGGCATGGTTATATAAGATTATACACATCAACCATCGCAGCCTTTGCAGGTGTATGATATTTCTGACTTAAACTTTTGTAAAAAGAAGAAACGTGGTTATGTTGACAAAATTTTTGACATGATAACCACGGCATGGTATATAAGATTATAGACATCAACCATCGCAGCCTTTGCAGGTGTATGATATTTCTGACTTAAACTTTTGTAAAAAGAAGAAACGTGGTTATGTTGACAAAATTTTTGACATGATAACCACGGCATGGTTATATAAGATTATAGACATCAACCATCGCAGCCTTTGCAGGTGTATGATATTCTGACTTAAACTTTGTAAAAAGAAGAAACGTGGTTATGTTGACAAAATTTTTGACATGATAACCACGGCATGGTTATATAAGATTATCATCAACCATCGCAGCCTTTGCAGGTGTATGATATTTCTGACTTAAACTTTTGTAAAAAGAAGAAACGTGGTTATGTTGACAAAATTTTTGACATGATAACCACGGCATGGTTATATAAGATTATAGACATCAACCATCGCAGCCTTTGCAGGTGTATGATATTTCTGACTTAAACTTTTGTAAAAAGAAGAAACGTGGTTATGTTGACAAAATTTTTGACATGATAACCACGGCATGGTTATATAAGATTATAGACATCAACCATCGCAGCCTTTGCAGGTGTATGATATTTCTGACTTAAACTTTTGTAAAAAGAAGAAACGTGGTTATGTTGACAAAATTTTTGACATGATAACCACGGCATGGTTATATAAGATTATAGACATCAACCATCGCAGCCTTTGCAGGTGTATGATATTTCTGACTTAAACTTTTGTAAAAAGAAGAAACGTGGTTATGTTGACAAAATTTTTGACATGATAACCACGGCATGGTTATATAAGATTATAGACATCAACCATCGCAGCCTTTGCAGGTGTATGATATTTCTGACTTAAACTTTTGTAAAAAGAAGAAACGTGGTTATGTTGACAAATTTTTGACATGATAACCACGGCATGGTTATATAAGATTATAGACATCAACCATCGCAGCCTTTGCAGGTGTATGATATTTCTGACTTAAACTTTTGTAAAAAGAAGAAACGTGGTTATGTTGACAAAATTTTTGACATGATAACCACGGCATGGTTATATAAGATTATAGACATCAACCATCGCAGCCTTTGCAGGTGTATGATATTTCTGACTTAAACTTTTGTAAAAAGAAGAAACGTGGTTATGTTGACAAAATTTTTGACATGATAACCACGGCATGGTTATATAAGATTATAGACATCAACCATCGCAGCCTTTGCAGGTGTATGATATTTCTGACTTAAACTTTTGTAAAAAGAAGAAACGTGGTTATGTTGACAAAATTTTTGACATGATAACCACGGCATGGTTATATAAGATTATAGACATCAACCATCGCAGCCTTTGCAGGTGTATGATATTTCTGACTTAAACTTTTGTAAAAAGAAGAAACGTGGTTATGTTGACAAAATTTTTGACATGATAACCACGGCATGGTTATATAAGATTATAGACATCAACCATCGCAGCCTTTGCAGGTGTATGATATTTCTGACTTAAACTTTTGTAAAAAGAAGAAACGTGGTTATGTTGACAAAATTTTTGACATGATAACCACGGCATGGTTATATAAGATTATAGACATCAACCATCGCAGCCTTTGCAGGTGTATGATATTTCTGACTTAAACTTTTGTAAAAAGAAGAAACGTGGTTATGTTGACAAAATTTTTGACATGATAACCAAGGCATGGTTATATAAGATTATAGACATCAACCATCTCAGCCTTTGCAGGTGTATGATATTTCTGACTTAAACTTTTGTAAAAGAAAGAAACGTTGTTATGTTGACAAAATTTTTGACATGATAGTTTAACTCAATAAATTGCTTTTTGCCATTTTTATCGCGTGAACCTTCCTAATATATATCGTGCAACGTATTTTCATGGCTGACAGGAATTGAACCTGTTTTACATGTTATTACATGTAACCTACCAGGAACCATTGTAATTTTAGTACTTGCCTCCTCAGTGTTTAATTTCATCATAGGAGATTTTCGCCAACGTTAGAATGAATGATATAAAGATTATCGCATGCACTTATGATGATTTATAAAAAACCCGTAAAGTCCTACTATATAATCGTTTTATTTACAAAGCATATTTCATACATGTGAACATTATTGGAACGGTCATAATTAATAGACGTTAGTTCATTCCATAAAACGCAAATTTAATTAACCTTATTCAAATTTATAACCATATTCGTGTTTATTGACGATGGCGTTAGTACCCAGTCGCATACTATACATAAACAATGAGCGAATTCTAAGAATTCCAACTCAATCAATTTTATTGTGTGAGAAGTATTCAAAAAAAAACCTTTCCGCCAATGCTCTGCTTATATTTCCGGCTTTAGCCATGATCCAAATAACAACCTGGATAGACAAAATGTACACCGTTAGCAAAAGCGTGCCATTGGAATTGCAAAAACGCACAATCACAATCTGTTGCTTATACCTCTGGTACACACACTTCAAAAATATACTGCTCGCGCTGTTCCAGGAGAATAATTTCCTCCAGAAGCATATTGTCATCATTTTCGATACTTGTTTTAACAAATCTTTTACATAATCTTTCTAAAGTTTTAAAATTTAAAAAAAAGTATATTCAGTAATATCTGTTCAAACAATATGGTATACTGACTAGACACTGAGGTATACTGTGCAATATAAGAGGCGAGAGCATATATAAAACATACTAGTTTCTACACACTGAATTATTATAGTAGTTTCAGTTCTATATTTGAAACTGCGTAGTGCTATATTCAAATATTAGGTTACTGTAAACGAAATACTAACTTATAATTTAAAATCAAAGAAACATTTATACTTACGGTATTTACATCTCTAAATATTCCCAAACCAGTATTTTGTTTCAAAAGATTATCAGCATTCGTATTACCAGCCAAACTTTGAATAAATAATGTCACTCTCCTACTCTTCACCTCTTTTTTCGCCAGACTACGCAAGAACAACTGAAGGAAATTTTTTAAAAGTGGTAATTTTTGTTGAGTTTTTATGACTTCTGTGTCAGAATCATTTGACTTATATAGCCACAGAGAAACCGTGACAAGAAAAGTTAACAAATACGGTTGATTCAAATAAGAATACAAGATTTCGAACAATTTGATAAAACTGATGAAGGAAGATACAGTATAGTCTCCTAACATTTGTATTTTTAAAACTTCTTTTTAAACTAATCTATTTTACCATTTTTGTTTCAGTCATTTTAGTTTCTACCAATTATCACTGTCAAATGTTAGAAAGTTAGAACTTTCACAAGTATTTTAATGAAATAAAAAAATTACCTTCAATTCGGAATTAGAGGAACGAACAAAGAATCGTCGAAGCTTCGTTGGTTCATCAAAATCGTTAGCCCTATAAAATTAAAAAAATTACAGTATGTATTATATTTTGACATCTTGTCAAGAGCAATTTTTTGCGGTTGCTCATACTTCATTCCGACCAATGACAGTCTAAAAAAAGGTACAGGCACAAAAGGGCGAAAAAGATGGCGACATAAACATATGTAGTACCAAATACATTCTGGTTGTTTCATACAACCGCAGAACCAATGTGCTGGCAAACTCCTCTTTGTAATATGGTATACACAGCTTTCATGATACCAGAACAAGCACTGTTCACACAAAATCCATCTCTCGTCAGCAGCACTGTCTAGGTTATGTGCGAATTGGCATTTCATTGTCGCT